TTATCCCTTGTTTGCGGCTTCAGTTGGCCGCATGCGGCCATTGGCCACGCGCAGGTGCATGCCTGGCGGCCACGCGCAGGCCCAGGGGCCACGCGCAGGCCCAGCGGCCCACCACAGACGCGCAGGCCCAGGCCCGCCGCTGCGCACCCCTCTTTGTCTCCTTTAAGTATTACAGTCACAAGACATTTTCTCTTCTTTTTTTTTTAAATATCATTATTTATTCAGCTCCATTTGTTATTATTATTTTTAAATTTGACCAGAGAGAGAGAGAAAGAGAAAGTAAGAAAGCGAGCCATCAGGTCCGGAACTCGAGCCTTGGTCAGCTATGTGAAAATCCAGCTCTTTAACCACCATGCCACCAGATGGCCCTATCATGGGACATTTTCTAAAGCACAAGTTTTGACATTTCCCTATCACAAAAGTAACCCTACCCTCCTCCCTTTTCTTGATTAAAATACATGTCATTATTCTTAGGATAAAATATCATAAATCTTAAATTGGCTGGTAAGGGCTTCTTGGTATGGTTCCAAACTACTTTTTTTTGTAACTTTTTAAAATTTTTAATTTGATCAGAGAGGGATGACGTGAAATGGGGGAGAGAGAGTGAGAAAGTAAGCCGCCAGGTCTAGGACTCAAACCGTTGTTGCCTGTATGGGAGTCCAGCACACTTAACTATCACACCACCTGTCAGCCCTGGTTCCAAACTACTCTTAACCCTACATTTAGTGTTTACTTTGTCCTGGGTGTTAACAGGTTTGTAAAGCTCTGGCATTTTATCACTTCCTCGATGACTGAGAACTCTACCTTTGTATAGACTGTTTTAACTACTAGGACTACTATTGTCCTTCACTTGCTAAAAATCTACTAATCTTCTCTTTTGGAGCTTAACCGGTTTTGAAATCACAATTGGTATTGCGTTTAGTATCATTCTTTTCCACTAGAGTGCAAGCTTTATGGAACAAGGGCCATGTCTGACTGCTCTCACCTTTTTTTAAAGCAGCTACCATGTGTGACACATGGCAGATACTTAGTAAATGAAGAATGAAAACATGCTATGGATCATTTGGCATCGTCAAATTCCACATTAGACCTTTTTAAATTTTTTTCACATAGGGTTTGTGCACTCACCCGAGGGAGACAGAGATAGAAAGAAGAGATAGAAAGAGAGAAAGTAAGAAATCATCCCCCTAGGGGGATGGCCTTGCCTCAGTCCCTTCTGCATTCTTTTCTCTGGATTTTGAGCACACACACGCATGCAAAGGCATGATTTTCAAGCCCCTATGTCTGAAACATGAGCCGTGGTCAGCCATGTGGGAGTCTAGCAACTTTACTATGCCACCTGTTGACCACCACTTTAAACCTTTTAAAATAAAGACGATTGTATGTATTTACTTACCTAAAGCCCAGTGCAACTAGCATAAGGTTGATTACTGAGTCGCTGCAGATATTTTGTATATATTTGAGTTTATTAGAAAAAGGGCATGTTGTTTGTCCAGGGTGAAAGAGAAACTAGAGGAACAGGGGCTGGCGGGTGGCAATGTGGACAAGGGCACTGGATTTCCACATGGCCAACCGTAGTTTGGGTTCCGGACCTGGTGGCTTGCTTTCTCACTTTCCTTTTCTCTCTCTGTCTCTGTCTGGTCAAATTAAAAAGTAATAACAAAGGAGTTAAATAAATAATTATTATTATTTTATTTTTGGAGAGGTTTTTGCTATAGGGTGCGTGCGCTCGCCAGACAGAGAGAGACAGAGAGATAGAAAGCGAGAAATCACCCCCCCAGGTGGGATGGCCATGCCACAATCCCTTCTCCTCCATTCTCCTCTTGGGATCTTGGGCACTCATGCACACACGCCCGGCGTGAGTTTAAGCCACCGTGTCCAGGACTCAAACCGCGGTCGACTACGTGAGAGTCCAGCGACATAGCTATTATGCTAACTGCTGGTCCCATAAATAATTATTTTTTTAAAAAGTAAGAGGAACTAGGGTAACAAATGATGGGAGTTATGTCATTAAATTGTTTGATGTCTGTACATTAATAAATACTCTAATATTTACCCTTTTTGTGAGCTATAACTAGTATTCTAATAGTAAATGCTTATCATTTAGTTGAAACTTAATGTTTAATGAATAGAAAAATTGAAATATTAATATAAGGCAGAAATATATAGAAAATTTATGAGCTTAATTCTTAAAAATTTTTCATGTAGATATTTTTTTAAAAAAGAGGTTTTTTTTGGCTTAAATGACTTTATATTTATTTATTTAATTACATTTGTCATTATTATTATTATCATTTTTATTTTGAACAGACAGAGACAAAGAGAGAGAAAGGGAAAGTGAGAAAGTAAGCCACCATGTCCAGGACTGAACTGCTCGCAGCCACGTGGGAATTCAGCGCTTTGTAGGAAATTAACCATGATACCACTTGCCGGACCCCAATGTAGATTTTTTTAAGAAATATTTTATTGGGACCAGCAGTTAGTGTAATGGCTATGTCACTGGACTCCCACGTAGTCGACTGCAGTTCGCGTCCCGGACCCGGTGGCTTAAAACTCACGCTGGGCGCGTGTGCGTACGTGCCCAAGATCCTGAGAGGAGAATGGAGGAGCAGGGATTGCAGCGTGGCCATCCCCTCTGGGGGGTGATTTCTCGCTTTCTTTAATTAATTAATTAATTAAATGATTTGGAGAGGTGCTTTTTGTTTTTTTTTTGTTTTGTTTTTGTTTTTGTTTTTGTTTTGCTATAGGGTGTGTGTGCTTGCCAGGAAGACAGAGAGAGACAGAGAGACCGAAAGCAAGAAATCACCCACTGGGAGGATTATTATGCTTTTCAGTCCCTTCTTGTCCATTCTCCTCTCAGGATATTCAGCATGCACGCACACACGCCTGGCCTGAGTTGTAAGCCACAAGGTTCTGGACTCAAACCTCAGTTGAATATGTGGGAATCCAGCGATTTAAACATTATGCCATCTGCTGCCCCCTTTATTTATTTTAATTTAGCCAGAGAGGGATACAGAGAGAGAGAAAGCAAGCCATCAGGTTCGGGACTCAAACCGTAGCTAGCCATGTGGAAGTTCAGCGCCCCTAACCATGATGCCACCTGCTGGTCCTGTAATGTAGATTTTTTTTTTTTAAATTTTAAAAAAGTTATTATTTTTAATTGACAAATAATAAGGTACTGTGGTACCATGGGTTAGGACTTCAACATATTACTTTGGGAGTGGGAGTGGGGATACATTTCAGTCTATAATAGGGTTCATAAAAGATCTATACATTGCCTTAGGTTGTATATTTCTTACGTCTTCTTTTGTTTCATAATAAGGTCTTATTTCTGTTTGCTTATTAAGAAATATTTTTATTTAACTTTATTATTATTATTATTATTATTTTCCAGTTTGATCAGAGAGAGAGGGAAAGCGAGAAAGCAAGCCACCAGGTTTAGGACTTGAACTGTAGTCAGCATGTGGGAGTCTAGCACCTTTAACTTCCATACCACCTGCTGGCCCCTTCCTAGGTTTTTAAAGTTTTGGGTTTTTCTATGCTTTTACACTGATTAGGAATGATTTTATGAAAATTTGGGTACTTTATAAAAATTCAGGAAGATTAACTTACTACAAAAAACCACATTGAGCTATCTACATTTTATTGCTAGGAAGACTACCAGTTTTCTGAAACATCCAAAAAAAAAAAAGCAATAGTGGAAACATATCATTCTCTTAGGAAAAAATCACAACTTTATATTTCTTTTTATTTTTGTACAGTGTGTAACACTTTAAGATGGGTACTGATGCTTTCGCTTACTATGGAATTTTACATGAAACAGAAAAAAGTAATAGGGAATTACATAGAATTCTACTTTGTGTATGTTTGTTGTTCATCAAGGTTTCACCTTTCCTTCTTTTTCAGTTGTGCTAGAGTGATTGAGGGCAAAAAAATAGTCACTGTTGTAAAAGATCTGTACTTGTGGTTAGTTTCAGAGTCGTGCCCATGTCATGAAAGAAGTCTAAAAGACATTTGCAAGAGCTAGTATATAGATCTGACTAGTCTGAAAGACTCTCTTTGAACAAAGCAAGTAAAAGAGAGTTTGTTTTGAAAATTGGCTCATTTAGACAGAAGCTGGCAAATTGTTTTTTTATTTTGCCAAATGTCACATGCGCTCACCAGAGAGAGAGAGGAAAGTGAAAAAGCACCCCCATAGAGGATGATCATCCTGCAGTCTCATCTCCATTTTTCCCTCCTTTCAGGATTTTGGGCATGCATGCATGTGCCCAGCGTATTTTTCAAGCCACTAGGTTCAAGACTTAAACCACATATTTGGCCATGTGAAATCCACCCATCTTAACCACCATGCCACTGGCTAACTCACTTGCAAATTCTTAATCACTCACTTTTTTTTTTTTTGCAAGGTAAAATTGGTTTGCTAGTGTGTGGGTCCCCACATTTTAAAAGTATGTCACATATTAATAAAATTTGGAATACTGTTAGATATCTTAAATTTAACTTTTTTTGTTAATTTCTGTTTTTTAATAGATTGTCTGAGTTTCCACATTTTCGAAATAATCTTAAAACTGCAAGGACATCAGATACAGTTAAAACAAAAGATCTTAAATCTAGATCTCCTCATTTGGATGATTGTTCAAAGACTGATCACAGAATTAAAAATGATGGTTCTAAAGATGTACATCATAGCACTTCACTGCCAAACCTGGAAAAGGAAGGAAAATCATATTCTGAAAAAAAGAGCACTTTGCATTTGCCTGCATCTGTTGAGAAACACTGCACCAATGGCATCTGGTCACGTTCTCATCACCAGGTTGGTGAGGGTAGCTCAAATGAGGATAATAAAAGAGGGAGAAAGGATATTAGACATAACCAGTATAGCAAAGGAACTGATAGACTACGAAAAGATTTAAGTGCTAGCTGTGGTGTTGGCGAACCAAGGAACATGGAGGCTAGTCAAAGGCTACAAGGGCGTCCTGAGAAATATAGTAAAGGTGAACCAAAGGCTGAAAGCAGAACTTCAAAGTTTAAAAGTAACACAGATTTGGATTATAAAAGCGAACGCATTAATTCTTCTTGGGAGAAAGAGACTTCTAGAGAAAGGCCACACACTCGAGTGGAATCTCAAAGTGACAAAAAACTAGAAAGACAAAGTGAAAGATCACAAAATACAAATAGGAAAGAATTTAAACCACAAGATAAAGAAGAAAGAAGAGTTGATTTGAAACCTAAATCAGTATTGAAGGATCAGGATCATTGGAGAAGATCTGAACGAGCATCATTTCCTTATTCCAAGAATGAAATTACAAAATCTCATAATTCAAGTAAATACCATCTAGAAGAAAGAAGAGGAAGGGAAGATTGTAAAAGAGAAAGGAGTATAAACAGTCATAGTTTTCAGGATGGAAGATGTTCATCTTTTCTTTCAAGCAGTAGAACTCACAAACATATTGACTCCAAAGAAGGTGATACTATGCACCAATGGGAAAATCCACCTTTAAAAGCAGAAAGGCATAGAACTGAAGATAAGAGGAAAAGGGAACGAGAAAGCAAAGAAGAAAATAGGCATATGAGAAATGAAAAAAACCCTACAGAACATTTGCAGAAGACTAACAAAGAAATTAAGAAAACCACTACCAATTTAAAGAGACAGAATGAGCCAACAAATGATAAAGGTGACATCTCTAACGAAATTTCTAAAGGAACAGATAATAGAGATCTTTCAGTGAAAGCTGAGAGTGGTCCAAATGAAACAAAAAACAAAGACTTAAAGTTGAGTTTTATGGAAAAATTAAATTTAACTCTTTCTCCTGCAAAAAAGCAGCCTGTTTCTCAAGATAATCATCATAAAATAATTGATACTCCTAAGTCCAGTGATGGGAGTGATTTGGAGTCCATAGTGCAAGCTAAAACAGCAACATGTGTTCCTTCTGTCAATGAAGGTATCACAGAGGAAACCAAATCCAAGTTAATAGAACCAAAGGATGCTGAACCCAAGATCAGTATTATAGAAAGCAAAATGGAAGAAGAAAATAGTTTGTTAGTTAAATCTGTGGAGAATGCTGGGCATTGCGAATTACCTGTTTATGGTGCAGAGATTTCTTTCTCAACACCTGTGGAAATGGAACAAACAGAATCCTTGTTTCCGTCATCAGCAGAAATGATACAGACTATTGATGTTACTAGAGCAGCAGCTCCTGTGGTAATGGGTGTATTACAAACAGATGTTTCTCCAAATTTTGCCCTGGAATCAAATACCAAAAAAAATGATGGCTTAAATTCTTGTGATACTTCTGAGGGTGTGGAAATGAAGGCAGCTATTTCAGTGAAAGTGGCTGAAACCAGTGAAAGCATTTTACAGCCTTCAGTTAAAGAAGCTGGCATTTTGCCAACAACCTTCTCAGAAGATAATAACCCCAAATTTGAACCTTCACTTGTAGAAACACCACAAGTTGAAAATAAGTCTTGTCATTTGGAGACTTGCTTACCTAAGGAGACTCTACAATCTTCACTTCCACAGGCTGAGTTGATGGACCATAGAGTGGAAACTGGTGAAACTAACTCATTATATCATGATGATGATAACTCCGTTTTGAGTATTGACCTTAATCATCTGAGACCTATTCCAGAAGCCATAAGTCCTCTGAATAGTCCAGTGAGACCTGTAGCAAAAGTTCTTAGAATGGAAAGCCCATCCCGAGTTCCATTATGTAACAGTCCTAAAGGTAATCATTTATATTCTTAAACTTATCTTTTTATGGGAACGTAAAATACATAAGCAAGATAAATTGATGTTTTTTGGGGGGTGAAGTGGTGGGGGAAGCAGTAGAGGGTGCAGACACTTACCAGAGAGAAAGACAGAAGGTGCTTTTTCTTTTTTGAGAACATAAAAAATAGTGTATTTCAGACCTTGTTGTTAACTAGGAGTATATATTCCACCTTTAGTCTAAAGTTGGGTGATTCTTAATTATTTATACAAAAAAGGAGTAGTGAGATAGAGTATTTAAAATCTTTCTGCATTGAGACTTTGGTTGTTGTTCAAGAAACCACCATCAATGGCATAGAGTAGCTGATACTGTAAAATAAAATAAAGATATAGGGAACAGTTGATTGATGATTATTTATTTATTTATTTATTTTTGAAGAGGTTTTTTTTTTGTTATCGGGCATGCACGCTTGTCAGACAGACAGAGACAGACAGACAGAAAGCGAGAAATCACCCCCTGGGGGGATGGCCATGCCGCAGTCCCTTCTCCATTTTCCTCTTGGGATCTTAGGCACACACGCACATGTGCCTGGCGTGAGTTTTATGCTACCAGGTCCAGGACGTGAACTGCGGTCAACTACATGGGAATCCAGCAACATAGCCATTACACTAACTGCTGGCTGGTCCCCAGTTGATGATTATTCAAAAGACACAATTTCATACTTATCAACTTCTAAGTACTTTATATATCAATGACATGAATAAGTATTATGCATTAACAACATTCTGCCTAAAATTAAAGAAACTTAATGAATTACTCTAATATTTAATTTTTAATTTTTATTAAAAAATTGTAAATTATAAACATTTTTATTTATTTTTTTCAAAGAGATTTTTGCCATAGGGTGCATGAGCTCACTGGAGAGACAGAGAGAGACAGAGACAGAAAATGAGAAATCTTCCCCTGGGTGAATGGTCATTCTGCATTTTGTTCTCCTCTATTCTACTCTTTGGATTCTGGGTACACACACACACACACATATGTGTCAGTGTGAGGTGCTTTTTTTTTTTTTTAAGAATTTTTTAATTTAACTTTATTTATTTATGTATTTTTAATTTGAACAGAGGAGGACAGAGAGAGTGAGAGACAGGCAGAGAGGGAAAATGAGAAAGCAAGCTATTAGGTCTGAGACTTGAAATATGGTTGGCCATGTGGGAGTCTAATACCTTTAACCTACCACACCACCTGCCAGCCCCAACAAAATATGAGTTTTAAGCTGCTGAATCTAGGACTCAGACCGTGGTTGACTGTGTGGGAGTCCAGTGACATAACCATTATGCCATCTGCTTATCACAATTTCCTATTTAATGGAAATGTCAATTAGCAAAGACTCAATGGTCATGTGACCTTAATATAGTATGTAATAGTTGGGGGCCCAGCAGGTGGCATGGTGGTTAAGGTGCTAGACTCCCCACATGGTTGACCACTGTTTACGTCCCAGACCTTGAGAGTTGCTGTCTCACTTTCCCTCTCTGTCTCTGATCAAATTAAAAAATAATAAATAAATAAAACTAAATAAATAATTGTTTTACAAAATTTAGAAAAAGAAATATGTAATAGCTATAGCTTCCATAGGTGTGTTTAATACTTTTTTCTTCCATAGATGTATATCCACCAAATTCAACTCATCCTACCTCCAAGAATCACTCAGATCTCAATAAGGAAAACCAGAAGCCAATTCGAAAATCTGACAGATATGCAGAGGAAGACTTCCGTAAAACTTCATCTTTAGATGAATTAGAAGAAGGAGAAATTATAAGTGACAGTGAAATATCTAAACCACAAAAAGGTTTTGAAAAATCTGCCAAGCCTAGAGCTTCTGCCGAAATGCAGAACACACGGACTAGGCCAAGAAGTAGAAAAAGTACTGTGCATTTGGCTAAAGACAATAGGAAAACATCTGTAAATACCCATCAGAACAACAGCAAGTGGAATAAAAGACCAAGTGAATCTAGCAGATCTTCAAAAACAGAGAAGAAAGATAAAACAATGAGCACGTCCAGCTTGGAGAAAATAGTTCCAATTATTGCTGCACCCTCTTCTATACGAGAGATTATGCACATGTTACGAATGATAAGAAAACATGTAAGAAAAAATTACATGAAATTCAAGGTCAAATTTTCATTAATACAATTTCATAGAATTATTGAATCAGCAATTTTGAGTTTTACATCACTAATTAAACACCTCGACTTATCCAAAATCTTTAAGTCAGTGACTACTTTACAGAAGAATCTCTGTGATGTTATAGATTCTAAACTTAAGCAAGTTAAAAAGAATGGTATAGTTGATCGTTTATTCGAACAGCAACTACCAGATATGAAAAAAAAACTGTGGAAGTTTGTGGATGAACAACTTGATTATTTGTTTGCAAAACTTAAGAAAATTTTAGTAAAATTTTGTGATTCTGTAAACTTTGGAAGTGACAGTGATGAAGGAAAACTTGAAAAAACAAGGAAAGATAAAGCACAATATTCAAATTGTGAGAAAGGGAATATGGACAACTCTAACAAAGCATTGCTGAAAGAAAAATCACCAAAATCTGAAGATTCTGTTCATTGTAAGTCTTTACTGGGATGTAAAAAATCTGAGGAAAAACAGCAGGACCAAAGTAACTCCAGTATTAACACAGTAAAGCATGACAAAAAAAGTTTCAATACCTGCTTTGATAAGATAAAGAACTCTCAGTGTGAAAAGCACTCCTTGGAACTGCCCTGCCCAAGCACCCCAAAGCCAGGAAAAACAGAGAGCAGTATCATAGAGGATGTACAGACAACCCAGCATGCAGCTCTGAAGCCAGAACGTAGTTTTGAAATTCTTACTGAACAGCAAGCTTCTAGCCTTACTTTTAATTTAGTGAGTGATGCACAGATGGGTGAAATATTTAAAAGTTTGTTGCAAGGTTCTGATCTTTTGGACAGCAATGTTACTTGTAATGAAAAAAGTGAGTGGGAGTTAAAGACTCCAGAGAAACAGCTACTGGAGAGTCTTAAGTGTGAATCCATACCAGCTTGTACAACAGAAGAACTAGTTTCAGGGGTGGCTTCTCCATGTCCTAAAATTATTAGTGATGATAACTGGTCCTTATTATCATCTGAAAAAGGTCCAACTCTGTCTTCAGGGCTTTCGTTGCCAGTTCATCCTGATGTGTTAGATGAAAGTTGTATGTTTGAAGTGTCTACTAACATAACTTTAAGTAAAGATAATGTGTGTAGTTCAGAAAAGAGTAAACCTTGCATTTCTTCCATACTTCTTGAAGATCTAGCAGTCTCTTTAACAGTACCATCACCTCTGAAGTCAGATGGTCATCTTAGTTTCTTAAAGCCTGAAGTTTTGTCTAGTTCAACTCCTGAAGAAGTTATTAGTGCCCATTTTAGTGAGGATGCCTTACTTGAAGAAGAAGATGCATCTGAGCAAGATATTCATTTAGCTCTGGAGTCTGATAATTCGAGTAGTAAATCAAGTTGTTCTTCATCATGGACAAGCCGGTCTGTTGCTCCAGGCTTTCAGTACCACCCTAATCTACCCATGCATGCTGTCATAATGGAAAAGTCCAACGATCATTTCATTGTGAAAATACGGCGTGCAGCACCTTCTACCTCCCCTGGTATTACACAGAGTATGGTGGCAGATGAATCATTGGCATCTTTGCCCAGAGTGGAAAAGGAAGCTGGTGAGGTAGCAGAGAAAGAATATATCCCATGTCAGGACACAGTTTTAAAATCTGTGGAAGAATTGGAAAATTCCAACAAAAATGTTGATAGCAGTAAACCAACCTGTGAAGAACAGAACTCTATGATACAAACACAGGTTCCCGATATATATGAATTTCTTAAAGATGCTTCAGGTAAAGTGGATCATAGTGATGGAGTAGCTGATGAATGTTTGAAGCTTCATCAAGCATGGGAACCAAAAGTGCCTGAAAGTATTGAAGAATTACCTTCAATGGGAGAGAACCCACATTCTGTTGAGGATCATCTTCAGAACACATACATAGACCTAACAAAAGAGCCGGTCACTGAGACCAAAAACTTGGGGGAGTTCATAGAAGTAACAGTGTTAAATATGAATCAGTTGGAATGTCCTGGAGACAATATAGATCAAAATGCTCAAACATTAGAGAATTCTTTGCAGCCTAATCCTGTACATGCTTTTATTGATTTGACACAAAATACTTCAAGTGAGAGTAAAACTGAAGGTAACTGTCCTGCATTAGCTGTTGAAAGCTTGGAGTGTCAGGTGATATGTGTAGATGAAGATAACTGTAAGGAAGAGGAGGTACACAAGGCAAAGAAGCCTTTGGAATGCATTGTTGAGGAAACCTGTGTTAATTTGACCACAAAATCTCCTAGTTCATGTGAAATTAAAAAGGATGATTTAAAATCAGAGCCAACATCAACTTCTGATAGTTCAGAGTTACCTGGGACTTTGGAAAATGCTCAAAAAAAGAGAAAAAACCTTTCTGATCTGAATCATTCTCAGAAAAAACAAAGAAGGGAAATAGACTTCATCAGTAAGGAAAAGACTAAGAAACTTACCCAAGATTCTGGTGATAATGGTGAAGTGCACCAAAAGAAAGCCAAAAAAAGGGCCTCTGCTGTGAATAAAAATCCTTCATCATTAAAGGCAAGCCCGGGAATCAAGGACTCAACAGCAGCACATGCCACTTTTCCTATAAGCCTTTCTGCAAAGAATGTTATTAAAAAGAAAGGAGAAATTATAGTTTCATGGACAAGGTAAGACTCTTCTGAGACATATCACTAGGAAATTTTGTGAGGTCATATATCTAATCTGTCATATCATCAGTTTTATCTCATTGTAAAGAAAGTGATGACTTACTCTAAAAATTGCCGAAGTAAGTTGAAGATACATTCCAGGGTATAGTTTCAGCTATACTTCATAAAAATCTAGAACAATGACTCTTAACCAAGGATGTGTATTAGCATCATGAATAGAGCTTTTCATTGTGTTCTTCCCTTTTACATGAAAAAATAAGTTGTTTTTCATTTGAAGAAAATGGATATAAGCACATTTTAGAAAAGAGAAATGACAGGTGATGAAAAAGAGCAAAAAGTGGAGGTGCTTATAATGTTATTTTCCCCCTAAATTAAAAGTTTCAGGGACCAGCAGTTAGTGTAATCACTATGTTGCTGGACTCCCATGTAGTTGACTGCTGTTTGCGTCCCGGACCTGGTGGCTTGGACTCAGGCCGGGCGCATGTGCGTGTGTGTCCAAGATCCCGAAAGGAGAATGGAGGAGAAGGGATTGCGGCGTGGCCATCCCCCCTGGGGGGTGATTTCTCTCTTTCTATCTCTCTGTCTCTCTCTGTCTAGTGAGTGCACGCACCCTATAGCAAAAACCTCTCCAGAAAACAAAGTTTCAAGCAGTTTTTAAAAAATATTTCTTTAATTTTATTTGTTATTATTTATTATTATTATTTTTTAATTTGACCAGAGAGAGAGAGAAGGGAAAAGTGAGAGAGCAAGACACCAGGTCCAGGACTCAAACGGGTCAGCCATGTGGGAATCCAGCACCTTAACCACCATGCTAACTTGCCAGCCCCTCAAGCAGTTTTATAAACAGGTTGTACATTTGAATTTTATGTGAATTAAAAAAAATGCATTTCTTAAGAATCCACTTAAAGGTAACTACATAAAGGAAACCACTGTTGTGACCTTTGGACTAGAGATGAATGACCTTGATATTTGACTAGAGTGCTCAATGAGAGAAGCTGAATTTTGTTAAAACTGGTGATCAGGGCCAGCCCATGGCATGGTAGTTAAGATGGCTGAATCCCACAAAGCTAATTCTATGATTTGAGTCACAGATGTGGCTGCCTGAAAAACGCAGTAGGCTTTTGGGCATGCATGCCCAAAATACCAAGAGGAAAAATGATTGCCATACCACATCAATGAGCATATGCAAACTACAGCAAAAACCAAAGAGAAAAAAAAGCCATAAACTGGGGATCAGTTTCGTTGAATACTACAATCCTCACATACTCATTTCATATAACTTGTAGATGGCAGAATAAAATTTTAGAGATGGTAGCAGTACACATTTGTTCAGACGATTTCGAAAAGCAGAGTTCTGGAAATTAAGAGATGTGGATTCTATTTTAGCTCTAGGGCTTCTGGTATATCCATGATCATCCTTGGGCTGGGCCCTCATTTTTTTTTTTTAAAGAATTATTTAATTCATCAGATAGAGAGGGAAAATGAAAAGGCAAGCCACCAGGTCTGGGACTCGAACTGCAGTTGGCCATGTGGGAATCTAGCACTTTAACAACCATGCCACCTGTTGGCCCTGGGCCCTCATTTTTTAATTAGTGTGTATGTTAAATAATTTTAAATAACTAAACTTCAATTTTATTATTAGAAATATAGGTTAGAATTATAGGTTAGAATATTTGTAGTAGAAAACTTGGAAAATAACATATGAACTCAGAGTAAAATGATTTATAATTTATAATCTTATTGCCAGAGGGCATGTGCACTTGCTAGAGAGACAGACAGAGGTGGAGAAAGTGAGAAAGGACTCTCCTCATGGGGAACAGTCACACTGCAATTTCCTCTCCATCTTCTTTTGGGATTTTGTGCATGCACACACATGTACCTGACATATTTCTCAAGCTTCTGGGTCTAGGATTTGAATCCTGTGGTCAGCCATGTAGGATCTAGCCACTTTAACCGCTACTGCACAGCCTGGCCCTTATTTCTGGGTGTGTGTGTGCTCTCCAGAGAGAGACAGTGAGGGGGGAAGTGAGAAGTCACATCGTAGGGGAGTTGGCCATGCCACAATACCTTCCCCTGGGATTTTGAGAACACATGTGATTGGTGTGATTTTTTATTTTTATTTTTTTGAGAGGCTTTTACTATAGGGTGTGTGTGTTCGCCAGAAAGAGAGAGACAGAGAGACAGAAAGCGAGAAATCACCCCTCGGGGGAATGGCCACACCACAATCCCTTCTCCATTCTCCTCTCGGGATCCTGGGCATGCACACACACGTGACCGGCATGAGTTTAAGCCACTGGGTCCGAGACTCGAACTGCGGTCGACTACATGGGAGTCCAGCGACATAGCCATTATGCCAACTACTGCTCCCTAAAGTAATTTTTTTTAAAAAAGGACCAACAGTTGGTGTAATCTTGCTTTCTGTCTGTCTCTCTCTCTCTGTCTTCCCAGCGAGTGCATGCGTCCTATAGCAAAAACCTCTTAAAAAAAAATTATTTAATTTTATTTATTCATTCATTTTTAATTTGATCATAGAGAGACAGAGAACGAGAGAGAGGGAAAGTGAGAAAGCAAGCCACCAGGTCCGGAACTCAAACTGTGGTCAGCCATGTGGGAGTGTCCAGTACCTTAACCACCATGCCAACTGCTGGCCCCACGTTTCTTATTTCTTAATCTTATTTTATTACTTTATTAAAGATAACCATTGTCCATGTTTTGAAATATACAGGTTTTCTTTCTCCTGTGTGTATTAATGTCCTTTGTTTCTGGACATTAAGGCAATGAGATTTTATTGCCATATTGCTCTAGTGTACAAAAACTAAATAAAATTTTTCCCTCCACAGAAATGATGACCGGGAAATCTTACTAGAGTGTCAGAAAAGAGGGCCATCATTGAAAACATTTACGTATTTAGCTGTCAAGTTGAATAAAAATCCAAATCAGGTAACTACCCAGTTTTTTTCCTCTCTCTCTTGTTTCATATACATTGCTACTCTAAATACTTAGATTTAATTTTTAAATGCATATAAACTTATTAGCTAGCTACTTTGAAAATATGGCTCAATATAGTGCTGTTAAAAACTTGGTGATTGTGGGAAAAGTATGACTAGAATGATTTTTTGTTCTATATTTTATAATTTCTTATTTGATCTCAGGCAGTTTTATAATTTTTCTGATTTAAGAAAATTTCTTGTTTGCCCAGCTATAGTAGCACAGAATGGATGCTGCTGCTCGGCAGGCCACATAGGTGGCCCCAGGTTCTTGTGTGGCCTGTCCTGGAAAAGCTGGGTACAGTTGTGTGTGCCTGTAGCTCCCAGCCACTCTGGGGCTTGACACATGAGAATTGTGATGTAGTGAAACCCTGTCTGAAAACCACCACACAGACACATATACATAAACAAAAAGAAATCACCATTAGTAGAAAGATATTTCATAAACATCAGTTCATCTATTTATTGTTGATGTTAATGTTTTCTGTTTTTATGTTTTGTAAAAGTATTCATCACAGATTAAAAAAGATTATTCACATATTTATAGTTAATGCTTATTTTAATTTTTCAGGTTTCAGAAAGATTCCAGCAGCTAATGAAGCTCTTTGAAAAGTTAAAATGCAGGTAGTTAATGGGTATACCACAGGAGAATAATGAAGTAAATGTTTGACACTAATTGTGCAGTTATGGCGTGTTGGTTATTGCCGATGTGAATAGTAGGTGAGAGGCATCCAGTTGCAATCCTGCTTCAGTCAGGTTGGAGAGTGGTTGCTTGTACAAGCATCTAAGGTCACCTCATCTGCAGGCACGTGCTTGGAGTGAAGCCTGCTGCAGTTCAGATCAGCATGGCATCTCTCCTCAATCTTCTGATGGCTGATAAGTCTAAGGTGGGGGGAAACCCATTTGTTGATAATACATTTTTTCATAGATAAAGAAAAATAAAACATTCTTGAATAGCAGTATGTTTCACAAGCAGTGAAGTCTATATAGTCATTGTAATTTACAAAATATATAAATCTATTATCTATAGAAGATGTGATTTTGCTATATTAAATTCATTGACATGTTTTCTCAGTTTCTTTAAGTTATTTTTGTATAGGTTTATTATGTCACTAATCAATAACACCATTTTTTTTTTCTGTGAGACCTCAGCCAATTGCTTAACTTCTGTATTTTTGTAAAGAAAGTTATAAAGTTATTTAATGTATCACTGTACTTTTCATTTGATTTGTAGCATATTTGAAACCCAATTTTAAATTAAATTTTAAGTAAATCTGAATAGAAATCATGTTTAGTTATGGATTATAGTGTTAAGTGTTCTGAATAACTTTTGAGTTTTATATTTGTTTCTAGCTTCAATGTGAACTACTGTCTGAATAATTTGTTAATTTTCATAAAAGCAACTGATTTGTTAGATCTTTAAAAGACATTTAGTAGTTTAGTAGTGAAGCTAAATTTCTATTTATATAATTCAGAATGTAAGATTGACTAATAGAAAATTTGGGAAAGAAGCTTATTCTAAGGAACCTTGTATAAAAAAAATGACTTAAGGCAAAAGTGTCTTGTTTATTTTTCAGATTCACTGTGCTTTAAGATTTTTGCTGCCTTTAATAAATTAAACTTGGCCCTGCTATGGTGACATAGGCAGTAGGATGCTGCTATGTGAAGTTGTGGCCATATGATAGGTCTGGGTTTACATTCTGGACCAACTGCACAGACTGGGGGTGGTGGCATGCACTTGTAATCCTAGCTAATTGCAGTGCTGGGGCAGAGGATCACAATGACAAGACCCTGTCAAAAAGTACTATTTCTCTTTCTCTCTACCTCTTCTCTCACTCATGTGTTTTTTGTTTTATAGAAAAAGAAAAAAAGCATTAAACTGGATTTTTCTGTTTCAACTTAATGTTATCTTACATAATTTCTATTTTCTTGCGAGGAGAATGTAGATTCATTAAAGAAATAACTTGTATCTGAAAATGATGCTTGTTAATTTGAAATTTCCAAATTCTATTACAATTCTAAAGTCTTTGAGTGAATTTGATACTTTATTTGCTTGCATGATAGCACATATAGTGGGTTATTTCATCCCTTGCATGTCTTTTAACTGACTTCTTAAAATATAAAAATAGTTACCAAACTGCTTCTGTAAAAGCTAGTTTTTAACACCAGTATTATTTAAGTAGAGGTCACTTAAAAGGTGTAACCTGTTCTTGAAATGATCATATCAGAAACATAGAATCATAACTTTAGCATTTTCTTACATTACAGATAAGATGCTGAATTCCTTGGAGTCTTAATTGATATTGCATACTACACAGAAGCTTCAAATTCCTCATGTTTTAATGGGGAACTAGAGGGAGGTTTTACCCCATTTTTGATCAATAGATTTTTTATTGCTTGCTGACTCTATTTTCAGTAGCACGATCAGCTTGTTCTAGTCATCAGTCCAGTTTGCTTACCTGTTATTGGTTGAAATGTTTATTTTTAAACATGTTAGAACTTGGTATCAAAATGAAAGCAACAATGATGTACTATTGAAATATTAATTTTGATATTTCAGGGACATGACTTTTGTTTTCTAAAATTTTTAAAGGTTTTGTAATGTTTTAAATGACTGTTTAGTTCAAGTTTTCATCCATTTTTATTTGGTTTTATAATGACCTCACCTCATTTTTATAAATTGTAAAATAATTTAAATAGTATATTTGTAAATATGTATTATTATAATGATGTAAAATACTATATGTATGTGTGTGTATGCACACATGTAAATGGCTTTGCCTAGCCAAGGTTTTTTTTTTTTTTTAATCTGTATAAAACTTTTTGTACAAAGTTTGCTTTCAATAATAATAATGTGTAATAAAACCATGTAAAGTTCTATTATGTTTTGATTAGAATATTTCCTTTACTTTCTTTAAAAAACAATTAAACAAGGTCAGACTTCCAGAGGACTTGACAAGCTGTTTTGAAGTGGTTCTAGGGGAGGGTGTTGCTGGTCGAATGACTGAGAAGATTCACTGGAGAAAACCAGTTGCCATTGCCTGCTTTATTACAGCAGGTACTGGTACAAGTCATACCTCTGCTGCAGGTATGATTCGCTGTACTGGTACCTCATGGATACAATTAGGGCAGCACAAAAGCCCTTCGGGTAAAGATTTGTAGAAAACAGATGTAAGGATTTAATCTGTATAAAACTTTTTGTACAAAGTTTGCTTTCAATAATAATAATGTGTAATAAAACCATGTAAAGTTCTATTATGTTTTGATTAGAATATTTCCTTTACTTTCTTTAAAAAACAATTAAACAAGGTCAGACTTCCAGAGGACTTGACAAGCTGTTTTGAAGTGGTTCTAGGGGAGGGTGTTGCTGGTCGAATGACTGAGAAGATTCACTGGAGAAAACCAGTTGCCATTGCCTGCTTTATTACAGCAGGTACTGGTACAAGTCATACCTCTGCTGCAGGTATGATTCGCTGTACTGGTACCTCATGGATACAATTAGGGCAGCACAAAAGCCCTTCGGGTAAAGATTTGTAGAAAACAGATGTAAGGATCGATTAACTTGGACATTACTTCTTCAGTGCTGTCCCAGAAGACTCAGGAATTGAGGGTTATAGTCTGAGTCCTAGATGCTAGAAAATGCCTTTCTCATTATCAGTTCTCCCTGAATGTCCAAAGGGGAGGTCCTAAGATGAAAGAATGCTTGGTTGGTAACAGAAATAATTAACTGGTTTTGGGACCAGTGGTTGGCGTAATGGCTATGTCGCTGGATTCCCATGTAGTCAGCTGTTATTTGAGTCCCAGGCTTAAACTCACACCGAGCGCATGTGCGTGTGTGCCCAAGATCCTGAGAGGAGAATGGAGGAGAAGGGATTGTGGCGTGGCCATGCCCCCTGGGGGGTGATTTCTTGCTTTCTGTCTGTCTGTCTCTGGCGAGCACACGCACCCTATAGCAAAAACCTCTCCCCCACACCCCCAAAATGAACTGGTTTTGTAGTGCTAGGGCTCTCCACTGCAGGGCTTTTCTCCACAGGCTAGAAGGCTTCAGTCCTCTAGTGCAGATCTCATACCACTGGGAAAATGAATTCATAGGCAAAGTAAAATGATGATTAAAGAGATGTTACTGGACCAGCAGATGGTGGAGCAGTTACATCGCTGGACTCCCACATGGCCGACCACAATTCAAGTCCCTGACCCAGAGGCTTCAAACTCATGTCAGGCGTGCGTGTGTGCCCAAGATCCCAGGAGGAGAATGGAGAAGGAATTGTGGTGTGGTCATCCCCTCTAGGGGGTGATTTTTCACTTTCTGTCTCTCTGGAGAGCGCGTGTGTCTATAGCAAGAAATCTCTCAAAAAGAAAAAAAATGTTACTGGGTAACTACTATATTACATAAGACATCTAGAATGTAAAATGAAGCTAATAAACAAATGAAAAATGTAAAGATTTTAGCACTGTGATAGAGTAAGAAATAAAAGGGACCTGCAGTTAGTATAAGGGCTATGTTGCTGGACTGTCGTGTAGTCGAGCACAGTTTGAGTCCCGGACCTGGTGGCTTAGACTCATGCTGGGCACATGTGTGTGCGTGCCCAAGATCCTGAGAGGAGAATGGAGAAGGGATTGTGGCATGGCCATCCCCCCTGGAGGGTGATTTCTCGCATTCTGTTTCCTCTCTTTCTGGCTAGTGCATGCTCCCTATAGCAAAAACCTCTCAAAAAAAAAAGTAAGAAATAATGAAACATATTCCATTGTATGTATCTGCCACATTTTTATTCATTCATCCATCCCTCAGTGGACATGAATTGTTGCTACCTTTAGGCATTGTGAATCATACAAACATACAGTATCAAATATTTGAGTGCCTGCTTTTACTTTGGGTACGTACCCAGAAGTGGAATTGCTGGATCCTGATGGTAATTGCGTTTAATATTTTGGTATCTTTCAAAGTGGTTCATAGCAGTTCAGAGAGGTTGTGCCATTTTATAGTCCCACCAGTGGTGCACAGGTGTCCTAATTTCTCGAAATCCTTGTCATCATTTGTACTTTTTTTTTCTCCTTTCCTCTCTTCCTCTCTCTCTAGCCATCCTGATATGTGTGCAGTGGTACTATAGTTTTGATTTGCATTTCCCTCAAGATTATTGATATTGAGCATCTTCATGTGTGTATTGGCCATCTGCATGTCTTTTTTTTTTTTTTGTAGTATCTGTCTTTTGCCCATTTTTTAAAGAATTATTTTAACTTTATTCATTTATATATGCATAGATACATACAAACAAACTTGACCAGAGAGGAACAGTGAGAAGAGGGAAAGTGAGAAAGCAAGCCGCCAGGTCCAGTCTGCCATGTGGGAGTCTAGTGCCCTTAACCATCATGCTACCTGCTGGCCCCCTTTTGCCCATTTTAAAATTCAGTTGTTTGTTTTTTGTTGTTGAGTTATGCACATTCTTTTTAAAAAAATATTTTATTTAACTTCATTTATTTGCTTATTTTAATTTGACCGGAGAGGTATAGAATGGGGCGGGGGAGAAAATGAGAAAGCAAGCCGCCGGGGCTTGAACTGTGTCCTGCCACATGGAAATCCAGCACCTTTAACCACAGTGCTACCTGCCGGTCTGAGTTATGCATATTTAAATACATCTTTTGGCACAATTTTTTATACCTTGAAGTGTAATTGGTGGGTCATATTTTCAGCTTTAGTATACAATGTCAAACAGGTTTCTAAAATGGTTTTGATTTATGTATCTGCTAGTTGTATTAGAGTACCCATTACTTTTTACATCTTTGTCAACACTTGGTGCTATAGACTATTACTCCAAAATTCATATGAGATTAGTGCCATTGCAAAAGAGACTCCAAAGAGCCTGCTCTTCCATGTAAGGATACAGTGAGAAGAGGGCTGTCTATGAACCAGGAAGTGGGCATTCACCAGATACCAAATCTACCAATGCCTGAATCCAAGACTTCTCAGCCTCTTGAACTGTGAGAAACAAATTTCTGTTGTTTGTAATTCACCCAATTTATGGCATTATGTTACAGCAGTCCAAACAGACGAAGATGTTTAATATTGTTATTTACTCTGTGATACTGTGTCTGTGTTTTTCAAACTTGATTCCCTTTGTCATAAGTAACCACTATTAATCTTTTCCCATGTTTCCTTACCTGAAACATTTTCTGTGTAGGTGTGATTTTGTATATGTGTGTTTTGCTTATATTATATTCTTTGTAAGGTATGTAACTTTATAAAAACATACATAATACTTTTGTTTGTTTGCTAGAGAGCACATGCATTCACTAGAGAGAGAAAGAACCCTCTATGGGGGCATGGTCATGCCACAGTCTCTTCTCCATTTCTCCATCCTATCAGGATTTGGGGTGTGAATACATATACAGCTGGCACGTTTCTCAACCTGCTGGGTCCAGGACTTGAACCATGGGGTCAGGTATGTGGAACCTGGCTACCTTAACCATCAGGTCTTGGAAGTGGCCCTAGAATGTATTTTAAATGTAGTCTAAAATAGGATCCAGTTTCATTCTGCATAGGGATTATTCATTTTTTTTTCTCAATACAATTTATTGAAGAGACCAATTCCTTTTCATTATGTGTTCTTGTCACCTTTATAAAAAATAATTTGAAGGTAAATACATTGATTAAATTTTTTTTTTAATTCTTTTTCTTTTGGGAGAGATTTTCACTGTAGGACGTGTGCGCTCGCCAGACAGACAGAGAGAGACATAGAGGCAGAAAGCGAGAAATCACCCCCCAGGGGGGATGGTCACGCCGCAATCCCTTCTCCTCCATTCTCCTC